GCTGAGCCCTTTTCAGGGCTGCTTTCCACCTGTGGTATCTATCTGATCCACCTAACTCTCACCTGTGGCTCCAATAAACTGTAGCATGCACAGCCACCACACCCTGGTAAACTGTTTCAGCAGATGGGCTAAACCATGCTGAGGGTTACTGAGGGCTCTCAAAGCTGTTGGTGAGTTAGGGGGGGTACCTACCCCAAGCATGTGAAGACCTCCCCTGGTGGAATAGGCAGATGAGAACAATTTGTTCCAACTGCCATGAAGGCAGCTGAAGCATGCTCTGTGGAACACTTAGAGCTTGGTTAGACATTAAAGACATTAAGGTCATCCACTGCATCTCGAGCCATCACCAGTCTTGACTCTGTCCTGCCACTGGACTGTGATGACTCTGGAGGAGAGTGAGGCCAACAACTTTATGCAACTCTGCCTCACTTAAATCCAATTTACGCACTAATCAAAAGACATCACCCATACCATTTTACCATTTTTACCTATCTCAAAGTCCTGGGGCAACAGGCAAGTGATAAAGCAGCAGTTGTGGATACTCTGGGAGCTGTAGTCACAACCCTGAACACAGGCAGCCTGGGCCATAAGGGTCATCTTCTCACTGGAAGCAGCAGTGGGATTTGGCAACCCCCTGCGTGTCCAAGCAGACTTTGAAGGATTGTACTGCTCACCTCCTGGTATAGGAAAGGGGCTAGAAAGGTGCCCTAAAAATTGTCTGCTTACCTAACCTGGGCTTGATTACTGAGGCAGGCAGATATCCCACCCTTTGATTGAAGCATACACACAAAAAAATGTACAAGAACTTCTACAAAGATGATTCCACTCACCATTGGTACATAGAATGTGCATACGTTTATAGACAACACAAAATCCAGTATGGTTAGAAGAAGTAATTCAAGGACACTTTCAAGGTCTCTCTTAAGAACTTTGGAATTGATTGTGTGACATGAGAGATACTGGCATAGGACTGCCCAGCACAGCATGCCCTCATCAGAGAAGGTACTGTGCTCTATGCGCAAAGCAGAATTGAAGTAGCTCAAAAGAAATATGAGATCCATAAAGTTGTTCACATGGATTATTTGTGCCCTACCTGTGGCATAATATTCTGAGCTTGTATTGGTCTGATCAGCCACAGTTGAATGCATTGTAACCTGACTCTAACATAGTGATGTCATTTTGGTCCTCTTTGAGAATGAAGGACAACAACCAACCAATCAATCCCCATTTTACAGATAAGGGAACTGAGGAAGACAGAGGTTAAGTGACTTGACCAGGGTCACACAACTTAGTAAATGTCTGAGGCTGAATTTGAATTTAGGTCTTCCTGACCCCTGATCTAGCACCCTTTCCATTGTATCACCTAACCGCCTCCACCATAATCTATCTTGTATTGTATTTACTTGCATACATGCCCTATATCTCTAGTAGATTATGAACTTCTTGAGTATAGGAATAATATTGTTTTTCTTCTTTGAAACCGTACTATTTAACAATATTACTTTGTGGCTAGGTCACTCTGGGCCTGGACTATGGGTATCTCCAGGGAGGGTTGTATGAGGTGTTCATTGAGGACTAGCACCTCTGTTGTGAGGGCTTGATGAGCCCTTTTCAGGACTGCTCATCCTTTGGTGTCTACCTGTCACCTAATTCTCACCTGTAGCTCCAAGAAACTGTAGCATGTGCAGTGACCATACCCCGGCATACGGGGTAAACCAGCTTAAAGATAATCAACAGGCCTCAAACCTGTTGGTGGGTTAGGAGGATGTCTTCCCCAAGCACATGAAGACATCCCTCTGCAGAATGGGGTAGATGAGGACAAGTTTGTTTTAACTGCCATGAAGATGGCTGAAGTAGGCACTGTGGAGCTGTGGAGCACTTAGAGCTTGGTGAGACATCTAAGATACCAAGGTCATCCACTAAATTCTGGGCTATCGCCGGTCATCTTTTTTTTTTTTTTTGTCTCACCACAGGACTTCAATGACTCTGGAAGACAGAGTGAGGCTGATGATTTCCCACAATTCAAGCATAAGTCAGGTCATTACCCAATGATGTTACTGATTCTCTTCAAAAATGAAGAATAAACAACAACACCTCCAGGGAAACCACTCCTGGGGTACTCACTTTCTTTCTTTCCATTGAGACTGGATTCAGTCTTCTGGGAACTAGATTGAACTGGACCTGTAACTTTAGAGGGAAGAATCACACTCTCTTTTCATTCACTCTCTGGCTCTTTATGCCCTCCCCCTAGAGACTCAAGGAGAATCATTTGAAGTTTAGGATTGACTCATGTCTAGGGTCTCCCCAAAATGGAAGAAAAGAAAGGTATTCAATGTAAATCAGATATAGGGCAGCCTTTTCTTTCCTTCACTCAAAAGCAATATTTAACATTAAACTCAAAAACATACACAAAGGCTTAAACAACATCACCAGCAACATAACAATCATTGTACTTGTCTCCAAGGTTGAACCTTAAAATATCAAAACATAAAGTATTTTTCAAGGCTGGTGAATTGACATTTCACTTTCACTGTTCAAATACTTCCCTCTAAGATTGTTTTTTCTCACAAGTCAGACTAGGGGTTGGGATCATTCTTCTGGACAATGGTTATCTTCTCCAAGGACTACAATTGTTGGAGAGGGAGACCAATCTCTGAAGTACAGCTAGCCCCAGTAGAGGACACAGGAGCTCCCAACCTGTCCACCTCACAAGGTGGCCTCCAAAGCTAGAAATGTCCGTCTCTGCTCAGTCACTTATGCTCAGGAAAGAAATACAAATCAGAAGAGGCAACTAGGGCTTTGAGATACATTCTCAAGCTCATCTAGGACAACAAATTGCTGACCTTCTAAGTGTAAGCAAATCAGTTTCCCATTTTGCAAGATGGGAAGAGGGCACCACCTCTCCAGGAATGGCTCAAAAGAGTCCTAGCAGGTTGGTCTAACAGGAAGAAAGAGGGACCTAGATAGCAGATTACTTATCTTTAAGGTCTACGGAATTAGCCACTCCCAGGTTCTGTGGCTAGTCCTCTCTGATAAAGCCTCCCTAGCCTTAGGGGACAGGAGGAACTAAATGATTACCCTCATTCCAAAGAATCAGGCTCTTCAGCCCTGAGTCACATTTCCCTATAGTGACCAGGACACAGGCTCACCATTATATGGGGTTGTGTTCTAGCTAGACTAAATCAGAGGCCCTGTTGTTTACTGTCAATACAGTTACAAAGTATACTCACATTTCTTTATATTTCAAATATATTATGTTTACACTTATAGTCTTATTATTTATTATTAATATCTTAAGGGGAGAAAAAAATGAAACTCAGGGAAAAGCCTACTTGTGCTACTATGGAACTCAATAAGTTTTTTAAGTTTTTTTTTTTTTTCTAGCAAACTTTTGAAATAACTATTTCAAAGCCTTTTGAGAAAGTGAAACAAAGCAAAACAAAAAACAAACCAAAAGAACTCACAACTTCTGTTGATGAGAAACTCAATAGCCACGATTTGAGGGTAACTGGTAATTAGAATATTCCACTTTTAAAGAAGATGTGCAATTATATATTTGAGATATATCTGTATTTGTATCATTAATATATACTTGCTCCTTCATGGCATTTGACAACCTAATAGGCAGGACAGAGAAGGTTCTTCTGTTCATAGACGATTTTTAAAGCCTTCAGTTGAGAATTCACAAACTATAGTTTATTACTCCTTTAAAATTCAACTCCGTTTCCAAAAGGGTTAGAGCTAATGTATGGAAGATTTCAAGGGCCTACAGGCATGAAAAGCATAGATTTGCTTTAATTTCGTGCCATCACAAGTAAGGCACGCCTGTGGAAATGTTCCCAAGTGGCCGGACTCTCAAGGGAAGGAAAACTATGTGCCAGTAGTTCCTTCCCTTGACCTTTTCCATAGCTGTCTGCCAGAAGCGGCTACTGCTGTCCCTGACCACCCGCAAACAAAGCCCCTACTCTCCTCTTCCATTCTGAAATACACACCCAGCTCTTAGAGCCCTTCCAAAGTAGCAGGGTTCTAAGCTCCCTGTCAGCAAGCAATTCGCCTAGTAAAGACAAGAGATTCCAACCTTCGCCTGGAACTTTGAGGAGCTGCCTTTTGGGAGCATCCCTTAAGGGGGGCAAGGATACCAGACATATAGGTAAAGAAGAGGCGATGAGGGTGTGTCTTCATTTAACACCCTACGGTGGCCACAAGAAAGCAATCAACTTTCCCCTGTTGCGCTTCGTCTTCTGGTCCGTCCTCGTCTTCTGGCTTATACCCCTTCCCCCACGTCCCACTACCACTTAGTAAAGACGCTACGTGGGGGGTGGGGGGTACGGGAAAGACTACTAGACTTGTTGTTCTCTAAGTGAGAGGAGCTCCCCTTTGGGAGAGGGTTTGAAAGCTCCTGTCTCTCGCTGCTTGTCTCCTGCACCGCCTCCCCCCGCCCCCCTCCCAGTCCTCCTTGCTCTCCAGGAATGTCCTCATCCGCCAGCCTCAGTTCGAGCTCTGTCTGCGGCGGGGTCCCACCGGGTGCAAAGGGGAGGGGAGAAGAGTGAGGGGAGGGCTGGGGAGGAGAGGGGAGGAGGCTGGCTGTGCGTGCCTTGCCTGCCAAAGGGAGATCTGTTCTTCTGCTTGTGATCCCGGCCGCCCGGGCGCGTCCACATCCCTCCTTAGCTGGAGCTCAGCGTAGCAGCGGCGGCGGCGGCAGCAGCAGCAGCAGAAGGAGAAGAAGAAGAAGAAGAGTTTGCAATATCTCTGCTCCTTCCCCTCTGGAAAACCTGTCCACCCGGCGCGCCCTTGCCTCCCACAGGATTCTAGCTTTCTAAAGTCAGCCTCCTAGTCTTTGGCCGGGAGGCAGAAGAGAAGGCTGGGGCGTCTTTTTCGTGGATGTTACTGCTCTGGAAAGGCAGCAAGTTGCATGTGCGTCCGGGACCGGGAAGGAAAGAATTCAGCCGCTTTACAAAACATGTAAGTGCCGCACGCCGAGCTCAGGCGGGCGGACCGGGACAGGGATGGGGATGCGGGGTAGGGAGGAGACCTCTCTCTCCTCTGGCCACTGGGAGCTCTTCTGCTCCAGGGTTCAGGGACTCAGGCAGCTTTGCTGTCCAGTTGTCCTCCCTGCTGGCAGAGTCTAATTTCGGTGTCTGCCCCCGGGAGGTGCTGCTTCCCATCCTTCCTTCCCCACTCCCCGCTTCCCTCCGCCGGGCAGGGCGGGGCGGGGAATTGGGGAGAGCGAAAGAAGATTCTCCAACTCCTAGGAAAGAAGGAGGCTTTGTGCGTCTTTAAGCTGGGGTGTCCCCTGTCGTGGGGGCGTGAGGATGTTTCCTAATCTCCTGTTGTAGAAGAAGGGTCCTTTGATTCTGCTGGTTCCTTCCTCCCTTACCTCGGCTGTGACCAGCACAGCTCACGCGGACTAACTCCAGAGTGACCTGCCGCTGACAGGAGTCAGGAAAGGAGCCAGAGATCCTCTTTCCAATGACATCCGGGGCTGCGTTGGGGAGAGAGAGTCCAGCCTAAGGCAGCCTCCAGGGCAGGCAAAAGCTTGACTGGGTACTTAAGTAATGGAGCGAGAGCGGCTGGGCTAGACGGGATTTCTTTCTTAATCTCACTCTTTTGTGGAAAGTTTTGGGGAGTCAGGAACCTAGAGAGGCGGAAGATGAGGGACAGAGAAGGACATTCAGATTCTGTCTGTGGTCTTCGGTGAAGGGAATAGAGAGCTTGCTTTATTATTATTATTATTATTATTTGGTTGAAAGTTGACACACTGAATTGGGTTGGGCAAGTAGGTTTCATTGAGATTATTCACACAAATACCCATGCTTTCATTTTCACTGGAGGAAAGTCATTGCTAAGGCTAAAGGAATGACCAGATGCTCCACTTTATGTGTCTGTGTGGGTGTGTGAAGGGGAGGCAGCCCAGCTTTGGGTGTCTACTGTACACAGACAGTGAGCTAATACACCTCTAAGGGTACTCAGATAAAGTCTGTACCTACTCTCAATGAATTTGGAGAGTAAAAGCTTGGGAAAGCCATGTTGGAACCAGAAAAATTTTGGAGGCTATGAACTAAGAAAGTAAACAATCTATAGTGTGGCTCATTTTATTTTAAGTTTACTGTTAGTGAATTTTCTGTATTAATTTTATTTGCCAGTACATGAAGTGAATTCACCAACTTGGCAAATAGATGGCATGTATTTCTCTAAGTAAATAGCTGTCAGTAATTATTTGGCTGAGACTGTGGGAGGACGGAGCCAGGCACACTTAACTGGGTTTGTAATGAAAATTACTTATGAAATGTTGGGACTTTCTAGAATTTCAAACTGGGTCAGCTGAGTTGGTGTGATCACATTTCTCAATATATTTAACTTTATTTCCTCTACTGTTGTTTCACTAGGGACTATTATCCTTACTGCAGAAGAAAAGAAGTTGATGGCCAGTAAGATTCAAGATTGCCTCCTTCAAGAAATTTTCCAAAGCTGAAGGATTAAGGCTTCCTGTGAGTCTTCCTTTGACGTATCAATACTCTCCTCCATTCTCAGGAACAATTTAGTTCTGGTCCTTTGTGGGTCTTCGTTCTCACATTTAGTGTTTTTGGATGAAATCATGGCATCTAGCCTAACGTGCACAGGTGTGATCTGGGCGCTGCTCTCCTTTCTCTGTGCGGCTGCTTCCTGTGTAGGATTCTTCATGCCTTATTGGCTTTTGGGATCGCAAATGGGGAAACCGGTGTCCTTTGGCACTTTCCGGAGGTGCTCATACCCAGTGCATGATGAGAATCGCCAGACGATGGTGATGGTGGAGGAATGTGGGCGCTATGCCTCATTTCAAGGTATCCCCAGCGCAGAATGGAGGATCTGTACCGTAGTGACCGGGCTGGGCTGTGGTCTTCTTCTGCTGGTGGCACTGACTGCTCTCATGGGTTGCTGTGTGTCTGAGCTCATCTCAAGAACAGTGGGCAGGGTGGCAGGAGGAATTCAGTTCCTGGGGGGTAAGTGACCACTTTCTTTTTGTATAATTTTCAGGTTGATTCCTATAATCTCTATTTTAATTTGTGTTGGTGCTTTTCCAGTAGGGTCCCTATCATTCTTGTTCAGACACCACTTAACAGTTAGGCTACATAATGTTGTGCCTCTGATGGTAGGACAGAATTAAAGGAACTCATTGGAATTATTCTACATTACTCTACAGGAGCACTTTTGTTCCACACATCCATTGAAGCATGATGCATCACTGGCCTGTCAAATTCACCTGTATGGGGTGATAATACTGGATTAGATTGGAAATGGAGCAGGGAAGACAGAATTTACATTCCCAGTCATCATCTTGCCATGATTTTACAATGAGATTTCATAATGAAATTTTTGGTGATGAAGATTTCATATGGAAATGAGAAGGGTTTTGAGGTCTGTGCTGTTCGAATTACACTATGATATTTTTTGTTGGGGATGAAATTTGGAAAAAACTTAAAAAAAACTTGGTCTTACATTGTATCACCAAATAAATAGTGTATTTTGGGAAGGAGACTTGTGACTTCATTACTTATTGGGAGATCTTGGTGAAATACTTCTACAATACAGATTGGCACTTTTTTTTTCTTTTTTTCCCCTTGTTTTGAAACTTACACTCAGTGAATTGGCTGGAAGCACTGAGAGGTTAAATCTCTTTCCTGGAGTCACACAGTCAGTATTATACTTTAGAATAAGAATGGAACTCAGGTTTTCCAGACTCCAAGGTCAGCTCTCTGCTCACTATGCTAATGGAAGTAGTTTAATCGTACAGCCTTAATGACATTGTCATAGCTACAAGTCTGACCACTGGAAAGAAAAATTGATGTTAGTTAGAGGGTTGATTATAGCTTTAAGATTTTACCTGTTCTTGGAGACCTTGCCATAGACAAAGGAGAATATTCACGGAAATGATGTTTGATTTCTCCCAGATTGGACATTTTTATTGATAAAGACCAGAAAAAGCTTCCTTCAGCGAGTTTTGGTTTGATTCCTCTGATCATATGGTCTTAATTGTACATTATATGTTTTTCCACTGAGTTTTTCACCTCTATTCTTCAAGCTGACTGGCTGAGTCTTTCAGATTTGGAGTCCATTCTGGAAATATGGCATTCATAGATATAACAGAAAACTAGAGAGAAGAGAAAATCCTTCAAAGCGTGTTTGTAACTTTGTCATGAAGGAAAAGTGAATTCCTCAGTTCTGGTGTGAATTACTGAAAGGATCCAGAAAAGGAAAGCCAAGAATGTTTATCCCTTGAGTCCTCTTTTCATCCCCAGAATAGCCAATCAGGTTATTTGATGTGGAACTGCCTAGTAGTGTTGTGAGAAAGGGTGGAGTTCTTCATTGGCTGCAAGGAACAGTACCCCACAGAAAAACAAATGTATTAGGAAACAGAAGAAAGTTTTTAATATGGCATTTTCCACTCTTGGTTTTTATGCTAAGTTTCTGATTTTCCTCTGCTGGGTGATGAGGGGAGCATGAGCAAATGGTAAACTGTCATTTTTTCATCTTCTCGAGATTCAACTTAACATTTGAACAAAGAGTGAGCTCTTTTGTAACTGGAACATGGTGAACAAAGTTGTTTCAGAGAGGAGAGATAAAAGTATTGATTCTTAAAGCTTGTGTATGAATGCCACATTTTTGGAGAACAGGAATAATCGGGAACACATTATTTTCCTCCACTCATAAACTTGGATTGATTTTGGCAGTTTACCTGGGTAAAGAATCATGACTAGGTAGTTTTTACTTTTCTTTTTTACAGTAAGTATTGCTTTCTGTTTCTCCTTCATTAGTGCAGAGACTGTTACTCTTCCTGGCAGTACAGGAAATTGCTTACAAAGAGAAATCAGTTTTCATTGATTTCCTTTAAATGTATACAGCTGTGAAAGACAGTAGTGGGTGAATCTAACCCATGAAATGCTCACATACTTACTCCTCCTTTTTTAATTCACATAGTTCTAAAACGTGACAAGACAAACATTGCCATTTATAGAAAACACAAGATATAAATCTATTGCAAATCTTTTTTTTTAATGCTATATTTTTCTTTTTGTGATTACTTTTTGTTTGACTCAGATTCTGGTTAGAGTGACTGACATTTAGCTGAAGGAGTAATTTACCCTAAAGAGTTGATTTTCCTGAAGATGCAATCTATATTATGGCTCTTATGATGGTTCTGAATCCAATCTTAAGAATGTATGAGCGTTATTCTGATTCTATCCTCTTGAGGGCACAAGTAAATAGACCTAGGGTTGTCATTGATAACAGTAACTTCAGTCTTTCTACTTTTTTAAAAAACTGAAATATAATAAAAATGATAAAACTGTTCTTTATAGAATGATCATCACAATATTCTCCTAAAATGAGAGACCAAGCAAAAAGTCTATTTAAAAAGTCTTCAGCTTATTGTTCCTAAATTATTGAGTCTTTTTATTCAGGACTAATGTGAGTGATTTCATTTCTTGAGTATGGAAGACAGATGGAAGAGTAAAGGGATAAGAGAGAGAAGGACCTGAATGAGAGGTTTATGAAGACTGTGCCCCATGCTAAACTAACATTATTAAAACCTGTGATGTAAAGCTTTGGGGATGCAGTCTATTCAGGGAGTGCAATGCTGAAAGCAGATTTTCTTATTAAACTGGCTTGCCCAGAAGGGTCATGTTTACCTAGAGTTAGGTAAACCCAAGATTTACTTAGACAGCAGGAAGCAAGTGAATTTCACAAGACAGAACCATTTCTGCTTAACAACTCTGCCTGCTGTGTAGAGACTTGGCCCAGATGGTGTAATGTCAGGGAGTCAAACCTCTACAGAAGTGAGAATAAGATAAAGGACAAAACCTCAGCCTTAAATCAGAATTGTCCTGCTTTGGAAGGTTACAGGTTAGAATAGAATTTTTGGAGCCAGAGTAAATGCACTGAAATTTGCCACCTGTTAAAGCAGAAATTTTTTCTATGGTCACTGGCATGTGAGCCTTAAGTATTTTTTTCCTACCACAGAAAACTTTTTTTTTTTTTAAATATCAGTATGGAAGCAGAGTACAATAGTCAACAATAGTCAACATTCACAAAGTGCTTACTATATGCGAGGCACTCTGCTAAATGCTTTATAATTATTATTTCATTGATCTTCTGGACAAGCTTGGGAGGTAGGTGCAATTATTCTCCCCATTTTACAGATGAGAAAATTGAGGCAAATGAGGTAAGTGACTAGCCCAAGGTTACACAGCTAGTAAATATGGCTAAATTTGAATTCAGGTCTTCTTGACTCCAGGCTCAGTACTCTACCCACTGCACCAAGTATCATGAGCCCTAGAATGAAAGATTTTAAAAAGGCAAAAAGATCAGTATTTAGAAGACTTATTTTTCATGGAAAAGCTGTCACTTATGCAACTCAGTAAAGCTGCTGTGAGAAAGTCAGATTTAATCCCATTTTTTTCTCCTTTCGTTTGATATGGGACATACAACTGTGCAGTTTCAAATATTGCTGCATGCAGAAAGTGTTTCACTTAAATTTTCATTAAGAAGTTTCTTGATAATACACATTGTATTGCTTCATTTGTGTGGAATAAAACCTTCATTCTTCCACTTAATTTTATGCAGAAAAGGTACCAAATGAAAATACTGTTTTGAGGAACTATGGACAGCAAAACTGCTTAAAGTACTTTACAAAGAGGTTAAAATGACAGGTGTGTCTTGTTGAAATTTTGGCATCTGGTGAGTGGAGAGGTCCAGATTTAAATTTAGGGTCTCACCTGAAGAGGATCAAGGTACAGTGTTGGGAAGCATGGCGAATCTACCATATATATCCCCTAGTTGTGTTTCTTGTTAACACAATATTATGATTTAGTCACTTATACATGAATCACATTATGCCTAGATTGGTTAAGAGATAACCAGTTAAGCAGAAGATGATTTCTGGGCTATATGATGCATTGTTGGTTTTTTGAGGTTACCCGGAAACCAGTGAGAACATCTGCTCAAACTTTAGTCAAGGGTGGTCCAAAGTAACATCATAAAATCTGTTTATCTTTTATGCCATCTTGTTCCAAGTGCCCAGTACCTTCATGGTGCATTGTAGGTGCCCATGTTAGCATCTCTTCTACATTCAACTCTCCCTACCATTTTAAGTCTACTTTCTGTCCCATGATCAAAATGTAGTGGTCTAGGCTATTACTTCATTAAAATTCTGTTCATTATTAAATAAGCAGTAACTAACATGATTAATCAATATCAGGGTGTTAATTGAGACAGTGTAGTATAATGGCTAGAAGGCTGGCCTTGATTCTGGAAGTTCTGAATTTAAGTTCTACCTCCAAGGACGATTTCTATTCAAATCCCGCCTCAGTCACTTATTAGTTGTGTGACCTTTGCCAAGTCTCTTAACCCCTTTCAGCTTACCTCCAAGAGTTATTGTGGAGATCAGAAAGACATATGTAAAATACTTTATAAATCTTTAAGCACTATATATATATTAAATCAAATAAGTACTATTATCATTATTATTATTAACATGAGCTGGTCACTTAATCCCTCCATACTCCAAGCAAGTTACTTAATTCCCCATACCCTAGGCACCTCTCTAAAACTAAATTACAAGGGAGTTATTATTCTCCATGGGTAGATGGGGAGCCCCGATATTGAGAATTCACCATACCAATGAAACCACAGGTCCAGAGCAAAAAAGCATCAAAAAAACCAAAAACCAAAAAACAAACTTTCACATGTAGTCCCCTCTGGGTAATCCAGGTGAATTGTATCAGTAGCCTTTTGGAAATAATGCCTTAATTTAAAGACTAGCATAGAGTCTTATAGACACATTAGTTGAAGACCTGGAATCAGATTTTGGCTCTATCATTTGTGTGACTTTGGTCAAATCACTAAAATTTCCTGAGTCTCAATTTTGACCTCTGTAAAATGACTGGGTTTGGACTAGATTAACTTTGTGGATCTTGCAGTTAGGAAAATCTGTGATCTGAGATGA